TCAACCATTGTTACCTGCATTGTATTCTAACCTACTGAATACATGAAACTAAATACGAAAAACACTTTCATTGCAGCACTTTCTTTGTCCACTTCCAAATGCAAGTTATAACTCCAACAGCAAGAAAGCTTCCAAATTTTGCTCATTCTCAGGTATCAGTAGTACATTTAGATGAGCAATAACATGCAATACACTTTCAAATTAAAAAACATTACCTTGTAGATTAATTTATATCAAAAATTTAACCTTGCCAAGGAACCTATATGAGAGAGCAATGTCAAGAAAAATTAATGACACGTTCACAAATAATTCCAATTGAAAATAGCTACATTAAAAATCCACTTATCTGAACTTTCCTAGCTTTAGGATAAGTTTGTACCTTCCCCCCATCACACGGATGCTAGACTTCAGTAGACTAGAAATCCACTTCAAATATTATATACTTTTTCAAACTTCATAGTTGCTTAGGCAAAAAGAAATGGCAAAATACTGGCGTTCTACTATGCAGACTACGGCCAACAAAAAACAACAGTCCTTATGTGAACAAACATACTACTGTCGTATCTTTTTACTGTCGTATCTTTTTTATTCAGGTCCTCATCACCAAATTATCACTATATTAAAAAGAGAATATAGCACAACTTCTCCTCAAATAATAAAGTCTATAACAAAAAAAAATAAAATAAAATACATGAATCCAGTATAGGTCTAATACTCATTACCCATGAACTCCATAGGTTTAAAATAGCATACAATGTAAATATATTTACACAAAGCCTACCATTCCAAATTAACTCACTAGCGATAAGGGGAAATATCTACAGCCTGGACCCACTATTGTTTTTTCACTTAGGTTACATAGTTCTTTGCAATGATGAAGTAAATAGAATTGTTAAAGGCCACCTTTTTCTAAGCATGAAAAACAAGAACTTCAGACAACAATAACAGTTTATTCAGAACTGCATGTGTATTTATGCTTGTTTAATATTAAGAGTGGGTAATGTTAAACCAGACTGACGACCAATTACAATTAACACAATATACTTATACACAACAGCAATAACCAGTTTTGAAGAGTAGCACAGAGTTCTCTACCATGAAGTTTGGACAGTTAGAATAAGACACTTCCATTGTCTCCTGCAACATCACAGAGATGACAGAGATGGGAGATGTTTACAGATCCTAAATCAACAATTCAGTTTCAGCATCGGCATCAGCAGCAACACCGCCCCCACCCCAGTGTAGGACTAGGGCAGGCAGCTCTAGGGCAGCAACTACATTTTCCAACCCGCAGCTTCTGTAAACAGGACCTCTTCAGAAACTGACTACAGTACATCGAACAATCGCCCACTCCTCTCCACGTCCCCGGCTGGTTGAGTTTTCGGCACGCCTCCTGCTCCTCTCCCCTCCCCTCCCAAGGAGGGACCGACATCCAGGAGAAGAGCGATGCTCTGGAATTCCTCCAGAAACCTGCTGGCAGCAGCCAGCCCTGCTACACCCCAGGCCTAATCCCCTCATCCCCAAACACCTACCCCACCCCCGCTTCATGCTCGCCCCCGCTGCCCCCACTTCCCCACGAGCCATTCACAGCTCACCCCCACCACCTCCCTATGGGCAAGTCTCTCTAGCCCCCCCGCCCCGAAATCCCCTCCAGCCCCCCCTTCCTCTGCGCCCACCCCTCCCCCATCCTGCCCCTCCCATGCCGGCCCCACCCGCTCTCCCTACGCTCCCCGCCCCACCGCCCCGGGGGGTGGCAGCCCAACATTACCTCTCCTGGGTCCCCGGGGAGGAAGGGAACGGCCAGGAGCCCCCGCCTCCTTACAGCTGCCGCGCTAGGCCCCGATGCCCGAAACGACGGCAGCGCCTCCCCCCCAGTAGCCCGATGAAACCCTCCCCCTCTTACCGGCAGCGCGGCGCTGGAACGGAGCAGACAGCCGACTCTAGCTAGGGTCGGGACTCGCGGAGTCTCTCACCTAAGCCTCAGCTCCTCCGTCGCCGCCATCTTGTCTCCCCTCCCCCCGGCTTGGGCGGCTCCTCCCCCTTTGGCCGGGTCCTAACAGCTACATAACAAACCCGCACAGCCAGAGGCCCGTTTCTCATTTTCTGCCCACTGTCAGGGGCGGATCAGAAACACTCGGTCTTTTCCTATTCTCCATGGGAGTCCCAGTGGCACCGGGCCGATCCGTTCCTGGGCAGCGGAAGGAGGGGTGTCACTATACTGCTGCCAGGACCCGTCGGTCTGTGCGGCGGTAAAGGGCTCCCCCCCCTGGGGGGGGGGGGAAGAAGCGGGGTGCCCGCGGCATGGCCATAGGGGAGACTCACGTAGGGGAGGGGGCAGCCTTCGCTATTCAGTGGGGAGCGGGCAGGGGGGGCACTGAATATGGGGGAGCAGAGACATGGCCATAGGGTGGGGTCTAGGCAAAGGCGGGGGGGAGGGGGACAAGAACATGACGGGGAACTCACCGTGGGAAGGAGAGAAAGGACGTGGGGCAGGTGCCAGCCATTGATAGTGGGTGGGGACACTACGCAGTGGAGGAGAGGGTTACAGTGTGACACTTGCGGGGGGAGGTTGTAATCATTTGTAGTCTTTTACAGGACAATATGTTGCACTAACACGAGCAGATCGAGTGTTGTCATCTCAAAATTAGCAATTCCAACGCCTGATGATGCGACCTGTGCATTAAATATTAGCGGGTGAGCGATAGTTCTGCTTGCAGTGGTTCTGTTTGCCAAGACCCCGCATGCAGGAACAGAGCCTACAATAGACAGATGATCCTTTCTTTTTCTGGCGATATTTTATTAAACTAATGGGATTATACCCAGAAAAACTGTCTTTCCATACACACTCCAAATAAGGTCAAATCAATATATTTTATAATAGGTGAAATGTTTGGCAATGCTGTATAGGTTGGGGCCATATAAACAGAGAAGGCAAGTCCAAATCCCATACATGCACAATGTCAGTGTGATTAAAATAAGAGTGAATACAGCAAAGGGAGAAAAGCTTTACATATTATCAATGCACACAAGATGTTTTTAAAAATCCATCCGCAAAGCTGTTAAGATGTGAAAATGTGAATGAGTGAGAAATTAATTATTCCAATTAGAGGAGCACAGTAAAACCCTTCAACACAAGTGAAAGATCATTTTTAGAACTACCTTAAAAATTAATCCTACATTAAGGGAGTCACCCTCTGAAACGGAATGAGACTTGGCAAGTCTGCAATATATTTTACACTGTGAATGTTTCATACATGATGTATAGGTTGAGGGGCAATGGGAGAGAGAAAAAAACAGAGACATAGTCTTGCCAAGTTTCAATTTCAGGGAGACTCACATTTTGTAATTAATTTTGTGCTATTTTTCTCAAGCATCTCCCTCTAGTGAGGAAGGATTTTTTTTTAATGTCTTAGTGAGGCAATCAAAATGTCAGTTTTTCTTTTTAAATATCCCTTTTTCAGGTTGCCCACTGCAAATAAATTATATAATATTTTTTAAACATGCAGTTTTAAATGTGATAACACCACAGAGAGGTCCCAATTCTCAGGCATTCTTCACAGGAAAAAAGGGACTTTTAGTGGATGTAGTTTTTAATATTTTAGGGAGTGAGAGTCTCTTGTTTCCATGCTCACGTAGACCCCATTGAGTGTGAAGGCCCTGTTTCAATGTTTGTGGGGGTGTGATGGTCCATATAATTACTGCAGATATTTATTTGGTGGTTGACACTCTAGCAGCTGGGTGTACTTTATTATTTTTATTATTATATTAAAATATTTATATTGCAGTAATAGGACCCCATTGTGTTAAAGTGCTGTACAAGTTTGAGATTTGACACTCTCTGCCCTAAAGTGTTTACAATCTATAATATCAAACCTGCAAACACTTACATGGTTAATTTTCTGGACTGTGAGTGGTTCTATTGATTTCAATAGGTTTACTCACAACGTGTAAAGTTAAGCATGTGCACAAATCTCTACAGCTTCAGGTCCTAAATAGACAAGATAAACAGTAAAATCAAGATAAGCTGCAGGTAAGATGTCAAATGTACACGTATTTTTAGTTTTTAGCTTTTTTAATGTTGATTTTCCCCAGACCGTAGTCCTTATCCAGCTCTACAACCTTTTGTCCAAGTGGTTCAGATGTTACCCTTGCTGACTACTCTTCTACCTTGCACACCCCCAGGAAAAACATTCTTAATATATTGTGTTACTTTTCTAATTTTAATGTATATATTTTGTCTTGTTTCTCTATTCCCTCCATCTCCCTCTCATGGTAAGTTCAACCTCTGATCTGCACCCAAGTGCCTTCTATTTCATGTTGTCACAGTTATAATAGTTGTGCATCACAGAGGTCTGAACGTGTCTGGAATCTCTGACGGCATGCTCCTTTTACCCTACTGCTCCTTCAGTTCTATGTGATTTAGAAGATTACAACCAACTCACATGGTTTCTGTGATCTACATTAGAAGTCAGCAACGGGATAAACAAATTATATGACCTCAAGTCCTACATTTATTATATTTATATTTATTATTATTTGTCAACTTCATGTATTTGGTGCTGTCCAAGACACAAATAATAAAGACAGTCCTTGCATCAAAAAGTTTACAGCGTAAAGTCATAATCCTGCAACTGGATCTGCATGAGTAGATCCCAGATTTCAGTAGAATTCAAGGGTCCATCCACTTGGACCTGATTGCAGGATCTCATCTGAGACTCCAAACCAGGAGGGAAGAGCTTGGTGTGTAAACTCTTTGGAGCGGGACTGTACTTCCTATGAGGCTGGTATGTCATCTAGCACATTCTTGGGACTATAGCGATACAAGTGATTATAAGCATTGTTAATTCATTTATTGTGGACAAAGCAAAATACACGCATTGGTAGAGGTGATTTTAAAGGTGTGTGTGTGACAACCACACGCATGTGGGGCCCATTGTGGCCTTGGTGTGGCCTTTTCTGATGTCCCAGTGGGAGCCTGCAGAGTGGGGAGATTGGAACTCTTTCTCTGTGTATGAATCCTTTCTGGGTGGAGTTCCCGCAAGGGGCTCATTTTCCCCTCCCCAAAGGGGGACATGTGGTGGGCCAGTTCTGGAAGGGAGTGAGCCCTGCGTGTTATCCCTGTCACTCCCTCCTGGGTTCACTCAAAGAAGAGAGCCTTGCTCAGGGAAAAGCCCTTCTAGGCGCGGAACCTTTCTACTGCTTATCCTTGTTCCCGCCCGGAACGACGTGGTCCCTTCCGGGTTCGGTCGCTATGGCGCTGGCGCTGCTGGGTTCGTTCCTGGCGGCGCTGCTTGCGCTGGTGTGGCTGGGCTCGCGCTGGCTGCGACGACGCGGGGCGGGTTGGGGACACCGAACCCTGTGTGCGGCGGCACTAGCGCGGGCCGATGACGTACGTGCCCTGGTCGTGACGGCGCACCCTGATGACGAAGCAATGTTCTTTGCTCCCACAATCCTCAGCCTGGGCAGGTTTCGGGCTCAACTCTGGCTGCTGTGCTGCTCTTCAGGTGAGGGAGGGTGAGAAAGAGGAATGGGGGAGTGGGTCTGGGTCTGGCCAACATTGACCAGATGAGGGAAATGCCAACACACTGCACCCAGTGACACCTCATGCTGTGACATCATCATGCCATGATGTCATTACCTGTGTTAAGTATCAGGGGGTAGCCGTGTTAGTCTGTATCTACAAAAACAACAAGGAGTCTGGTGGCACCTTAAAGACTAACAGATTTATTTGGGCATAAGCTTTCGTGAGTTAAAACCTCACTTCTTCGGATGCATAGAGTGAAAGTTGCATCCCATGCTGACATCACCCATGACATCACCCAATCAGGTTTTTGTGATGTAGCCAACATCCTCATGATATCACCCCGCTTCACAATGATATAATGTAACTGAGTTGTGTCATACCCAAGGCTGCCAATTTTGCTTGGCCGTATTCCTGGAGTTTTCATCACATGATATAATCTTTAATTAAAGATTAATCTTCAGTTCCTGGAGACTCCAGGACAATCCTGGAGGCAACCCTATTTTACCACATTATGACTTCAGTACACCACAACATCACACTGTATGTTACAACTTCACAATGTTATGTGTGGCCTTGTAGTAGATGTGCACTCCATTGTGAAGTAATTGTCCCATCATGATACACTGTAGCATCGCTTACAAAATATCAGTACACTGTGACAAAACACAATATTGGATTGTTGTGCCAGACGCAATATGATGGTGATGCATTAAAACATCACCATGCTATTCAGTTCATAGTGCTCCAGAAACATCTGCAGTCTAACTGACCCTTCAGACTACTCTTGTGGGACTATAGTTTGATGGAATCCCCACTTGATAGCAAGGCTAGAACATATATCATTTAATGCAAAGTAGGCCGTGGTAACTCATGGAGACCAGTAGAGAGGCTAATGATTAAGGTGTGTGGGAGGGGTACATCCAGAGGACCATTCCCCAAATCCTGAAGTACTAGTACTGTGATAAAAACAACAAGGAGTCTGGTGGTACCTTAAAGACTAACAGATTTATTTGGGCATAAGCTTTCGTGAGTAAAAACCTCACTTCTTCGGATGCATCCGAAGAAGTGAGGTTTTTA